TCCCACCGCCTCTCGTCCTTATTTATGTGCATAGCTTTCAAATCCTGGGCTGAGTTTTCCTATGAATTGCTCTCTCTCTTTGAGACTGAAAAACTCACCAGCACTAATGGATGTATCTTCAGCCGAGCCCTGTGCCACAAAATGATATTATTATCGACCCCATTTTCAGAGTCAGGGAATAGAATCGCAGAGATAGGAAGGTCAACGTTGTTAAAAGCATCTACTAATTTGAGAAAGCATGAGGCTTGATTTTTCAGAGTACTTATTTCCATAGCACTTTACTTGGTCACAGTACAGGTCCCCTTTGACTGCATCTGCAGTCATGAGAGCTTCACCCTTGTGTCTGGCAGAAGGAGGTTGCCAGCTGGGGAGTTAAGTGACCAGCAGCACTTAATTAGTACCTGACCAGGGACACACAGCAGAATTCCCATCTGAAGCAGGCAGGGCTGGAAAAGCTCTAAGTAAACAAATCTTCCGATGGAAAATACCACATCTAGCTGCAGTCTAACAGTTTTCAACCTCTGGCCTGTTTGAGGTCAAGCCTACCAGGATGGTGCATAGATTGCTGTAAAGGTGTTCATGCCTCCACCAGAAAAACTTGAGTATGAAAATGAAAGCTGTGAGAAAGACCAAAATTTGCACATATGCCATGAAATAATAAATAAAGAGCAGGCAGGATGCTTTTCGATGAGCTGATAGACTCATCAGCTGAGCTGTCAGCTGGAAAGGAGATATTTAGCTTCCCTTTTTTTTCCAAAACAGGAGTTTCTTTTGCTGATGCCTATCTAGGCTGAGATCCTACAGTTGGGGACACTATCTCTTCCTCTTCTCTGGTCTTTATCTCAGCACTCAGCCAGAAAATCTGTTCATTTAAGCACAATTGTGGTTATCTTCAGTATCTAGACACTCTATAGAAAAGTCCGATGTGTCCTATATGTTCAGAGAAAGAATTAAGAACAAATTGATGGAAAATCCAGAGGATGGGAGGGGGACCTCCCCCCTCTGCTTCCTGTGCTCCTGAAAACCCTACACTTTTAAAAAAGGACAAAATTCCACATTTTCTGCCAAACTTTTCATTGTTTCTTTAAGCTGAGGTAATATTCCACCTTTTTTGGTGTACTTTTCTTTTTTTGCTAATATGAAGCAATAATCCTTCCAGTACAAGTTTGAGCTGGTGCTAGAATGAACTGCCATCTAATCAAATCTATGATCCAGGTTTGTTAAAATAAACCTGGTTTCATCAGGCTCAGTACTAGATAAGGGCATGTGCTTGCACAAATCTGAAATGCCGTTGAAGAATTTTGTTTTCAGGCTTTCCAGCCTGTTGCCATCCTGCCTGAATTTGGTGAGGAAGGAATATAAATGATAGAAAGCAAACTCATTTTAATATTTCCTAAGATTCACAGCTTTCACTTAGAAAAGTTGGGGGGGTTTCAACAAAATCAAAACAAGAAGAATAGATTGCAATGAGTCAAGGAGTGCTTGTTTCTGGACCTCACATTTCCAGCAGAGGTTTCCCTTTGGGGCAATGGTTTTCCTCCATGCAATGCTGAGCCTTTAGGGGCATGTTCCTGCACCTCAGGCATTTTTGCAAGGTGTCAGCCTTGCTTCTCACCTTTATTTGGCTGCACATCCATTCTGTTGGAGATCTCAAGGCAATTTTCAAAGCCCAGCAGAGCCAACAGGAAAATTTCTTATTAATCCGAGGAGCCTTAGATGTAGATGGCAGTTTACGAAGCTGTGGTGTAGGAGAGAGGCACTAAGGGAGATGGGGGAGAGACCTGGTGCAGTTCTCAAGGGTGGCTCTCCAGTGGAAAAAAAAAAAGTGCAGCAAATTAGGACAAGTGGCATATTATCTCCAAAAGCACCTGCTTTGGTATAAACAGACTGCTGACGTAGCTGCATGCACTGGGAACCACCCCACTGCTGCAGATCTTGGAAATTCAGGCTCTGAGTGCTCCCCTGGGCAGAAAATCAAGCTGGTTTCAAAGAGAAACCTCTCCTTCAGGGAGATGTGGTCCCCACCTGGGTTTCATCAACCTCCTCAGCAAAACCTAGCAAATGGCCAGGTTTTGCCCAGTCTGCTCATTCCAGCCACCAGCGCTGGCCTCGTCCCAGTGATGGTAATCTGGTGAAGCAGTGAGTCTGAACATACAATGAAAAACCTGTATTTAAGCAACCTATGAGAAAACCACCTCTTTGACTTTGGCACACATACTGCTCAAGCCACCTGAAAAGAGTAAGGGCTTTGTTCCACCCTCATCGTCATTCGTATCTAGTAAATTGGCAGGGAGTAAGGACTTCATCAGTATTTCCACGCATGCAAAACAACCCCACCCCCCAAAACCAACTCCATAGCTCATTACTCACGTCCCCAGAGAAATCAGAATAAGACACACAGAGTTTACCACCTTCAAGCAGGAAATAGCTGCCTTTCTAATGCTTGCTAATTGCTTCACTTAAAACTAGTTTGATTACTTGGCACTGAGACAGTATTTTAAACCTGAATTATTGCTTGGAACTCTCCTTTCACCTACCAAGAACCCAGGCCATTAAAAAAGTGTAGCAAAGGTCTCCCTGTGAGGCACAGGATTGCCTGTTAACTCTTTTATGAATCATAAGAGATGTTTGGTTTTTGGGACAACATCTTGGCATACATGCTGTGAAAATGAAGGTGTTATTTATTAATAGCACAGCAGACAGAGGCAAGTGCGCACGTGGAGAAATGCAGGCTGCTGAAGCAAGCCACACTATGGAGCTATCAGGCATATTCCTAAAAGCTGTCACCTTGGGGCAGGATCACATTTTCACTTTCTGAAACCAGTAGGCCAAATCCATCACTCAGGTGAAAACAAATTCTTTCTTAACTTGGCTTGACTTTGCCCAATCAAGTGGTAATTACAGGACTGATTTTAGGGGGTGAAGGACATCAGGACAGCAGTTACAGGAGCATGAGCTGTACATACTGACCTGCAGGAGTGGACTAGCTTGGGGCTTGGCTGTGCCAAACATTGTCATTAAAACTGCCTTTGTCACAGCACTTCTTTGGGATCAGAAATTAATTTGCATTTTGTACTTGACAGGAAGTTATTAAGAAATCTCCACAGCTACAGTAAAACTGATGCTTAAATTGCAATCTTTCAAAAAGAATTTGAATCTCAATACGAAGCATCAATAAGCTAGGCAGCACATCTTCATGGCACATCCATGAAAAGTCTGTTCCTGAAGGTCTCCCTTCAGGTGAGACTCAGGTCTGGGTTAAAAAACAGGCTTTGTGCCCATGGATGTATGGGGCAGCACCCGCGCAGAGATCTGCCTACATTTAATGAGAGGAAAATAATGCCATTTTTTCATCTCTGGAAGCCACTTGCAAATCTTTCCATGGGAAGCAGAAAGATGAAATATGCAGATCTAAGCAGAATAAGTACTTAGTGCTATCAGCCCAGTGATGGCTCTGAAGGTATCTTTGCAGCTGATGTTTTTAAGCCTCTGTGTCAGGCAAGAGAAAATGAAGCCATGGGCCAGTTTCTCAGCTGGTCCTGGTGACTAAATATTAGGGATAACAGAGACACCCAGATGGGTTCTTTTGCTTTACTGTGACTGAAATTGAGGGTAGGAATTGAAGATTGGCACCAAATAATCCCTTTTTCTGAGATGATGTCCCTACAAACCCCTGGAAAATGTTTTTGGCAAGACTGCCCTCAGTTCAGCCCAGAGAATGGCAGAGAGAGGGACGTGAGAGGCTAGGCACTGGTGTTCCCCTAGCCTCTTCTCGTTTTGACCCCAACAACGGCCATAGAGTTGGATGAGCTGCCACCATTTGGATCCCAAATACATTTTCTTGCACCTCCCGAACGCCAAGAAATGCAATATGCCTCAGAAAGGTATACTGGGGCAGATCTGGGGAAAAGCATCCTTTAGAAGGGTAATATCACAGAAAAAGAAGCAAGGTAACATTTAGGAAAACATCAAAGATGGGCTCTTTTATTTCAGCAAATGAAATCCAGGCAGAAAGCACAGGCCTGAAGAAATCTCTGTCACTAGACATGCCCTGGATTGGGAAATGTTCTATCATCTTTAGAACTAAATGTTTCTTGATTCATTGAATAAAGATTTTTGCATTGCAGAAAATAAAGAGAAGTTATTATCTCTTAAAAATCCCATGCATCTGAGGAAGTCCAAGACTTCCTGAGAAGCCAACATTTTACAAAGATTTTTGAGCATGAATAATTTTTTGCCCATAAATGCCACCTACTCAGAAACAAAGGAACTAAAGTAGGCTATAATTACTTCCCTACACAATAGATTTCAATTGCTCCTATCAAGAAATATTACATAATTATTATAACTTAGGTCTGTGATTATATATTTACTCAAAGGAGAATCACACATAATAGAAAGCAGTGGGATTTGCAGCTCTTCATCTATTGTGTCAACTCATGCATTTAAATTATTTGATTAGAAAACTAAAGAAAGACCTTGTGTCCTAAACAACACTTTCTCATCAGCTGTCAGGATTGAGGGAAGTGACAAATGATGGGGCATGTATATTTGTATATATAGAGAAGAATTAGAGAAGTGGGAGAATAGAAAGGAGAGGCTATGTTGTGTCCATCGGTCTGTTCATCCATCCATCCATTCCTCCATCCATCCAAGTCTTGGTCATCCTCTCTGCATGCATCTCACAAGAAATTTGCAAGGACCCGATAAATAAGATCATCTCTCCATAGAAGATGAAGACAAAGGTCAGCCTGTGGAAGAGCTCAAGAAAAATCAACTCCTCCTCATTTTCTTCTTCGTGTTATTGCAGACTCACCCTCTCCCCTCATGTCCACTGGATTCCTGGCTATTAGTACAATTTTGCAATGGAGGCAGGGCCCACAGGCACCGGGATGTGGGAGGACGAAGAGGAGGTAAGGCTTCACAGGGGCTTACCACATTTCTCAACAGTTTTGCATATCTGATTTAAACTGACTGTTTCTCATGTTCACAACTCATACCTCAGATAACGCGTGTGTCTTTGATGCTACCAGTACTTCGGATAAGTCCTCCTGCTTCGTAACCTTGGATAACCTGCAGAAAACAAGAGGCGGATGGTTATCAAAATCAGGACAAACTAGTAGCTAGAGAGAGCAGGTCTCTAAGGACAAGATGTAGGACTGCCACTGGGGAAGATGCTGGAAGGTGGTTTTCCCTTTACCACAGACACACAATATCCCTTATTGAGAGAGCTGCAGTTCACATAGTGTCCCTGTTGTGCTCAAAACAGCAACAATTTGCATTTTCTGAAAAGTAAGAAATGGAAAGTAAGAAAAAGAAAATCCTTTCAGGCCTGCAGAATGCCATAGCGATCATAGTAGCATGAGAGAGAGGAAGACACTGATTTAAATCTTGGCCTTGAGGCCAGTCGTCTGTCAGCAGACAGGGTCCCGCAACAGGGCGAGCACGTCCAGCGGCTGCAGGTCAGTCTGTGACCACTCGCTGGTGCAGAGCCAGGGCAACTTCAAAGACAAATGCCACAACAAGCTGATTTTTCATGTGTGTACATTCTTTTATTAGGAATTTTTATATTTCTGCCCAGTAATAGAATCACAGAATCTTCATGGTTGGAAGGGATATTGGAGATCATCGAGTCCAAACACACAAAAAAAACCAAACAAAAAACAAAAACAAACAAAACAACCAACAACAACAAAAAAACCCAAACCAAACAGAAAAAAAACCAAAACACACAAATACCCCCCACACACACCAAAAAAAAAACCACAAAAAAACCAAAAAATCCAAACAAACACAAACCAACAATCTCGGGCACTAGAGCATGCCCAAGAAGAAGAGCAGAAGTAATATCACAGTTTCCCAAAGTGTAACAAATCTGATGTGTCGTACATATTGGGTAGAAGTAATTTAACATGAGCGCTCTTTAATTTCATAGATCTTTATTGCTAATGGTTCCTGGTTAATGATCAGGGGTTTACTGGTTTGCTTTTTTAAAGACAAATCTTTTAAAGTCTGGATGGAGAGGGGTTTTTACAGCTGCACGGGAACAGTGACACTGATACTTGCTGAATTCTGCAGGCGATATTGAAATTCTGCCATCTACGTTAAAAGGATTTTTGAAAGTAATTTTAAAGGGACATGATCAATTTGAAGATCACTTGAAGACCTCATGATATTACAAGTAGTATTTTGGACTACCACACAAAGTCAGTTGTGGGGAGAGAAATTGATGCTCCATGCCAAATGAGCCTCTTTGCTTTGTATTTTGACAATATTTTACACCCAATTTTTAAAAGCTTCCAGGGGGAAGTTGCAACCCCATGAGCTGCCATCACTGATACTGGACGGCCAGGTAAGCCCAAGCACCGGTCACAGGCTCTTGCACTGAATCCAACACTTCCAGCAGCAGCTGAGGGCTGCAACCAGGCTCACAGGCTAACAGGGATATTCTTGACAGCAACCAGAGGCAGAGAAATGCTGGTGCCGAGTTCAAAAAAAGAGGTTTTTTTGCAACTTTTGCATCTTTTGCAACACTCCTCAGCATTAAGAGATCACTTAGAGATGCAAGAAAGCCTCCTGGTTCCAGCTGCTTTTGCTTCCACTGTGATCTCTTAGTTTTTATTACATCTTGGTTAGGAGTGTTCATTGTTCAACGAGCAGACGTCTAATTTACAAGGGGCTGGGGCTGTGCTTAATCCTCAGAGAGCAAAAATGCTTCAGAAAGGGAAAGTTCTCCCCATCAGAGAAACTTCTGGAGTGGAGACAATGACCAGATCACTTGGAAAGGAAAAACCCAGTGCAAGGAAATGCAAATCAGGTTGCAGCCTAGAAAGGGGTTGAGGAAAAGAAACACTTTGCAACTGAAAGTGTATTTTAGAGCAGGGACAGGCAAGTTTTAAACTCCTTTTCACAATCACCTCACCTGTTAGGCTTGGTTGCACATCAGGGGGGTACATTTTCTTTAACCTTCCTTTTCTGGTTAACATACCTGTAGAAGCCTTTCTTATTTTTCTTTACGTCCCTTGCCAAGTTCAGTTCTAGCTGTGCCTTGGCCTTCCTGACCTCATTCCTACACATCTTGGCAGCATCCCTATACTCTTCCCAGGATGCCTGTCCCTTCTTCCATTTCCTGTGTAGCCCCATCTTGCCCCTTAGTTTGACCAGCAGGTCTTGGCTCAACCACGGTGGTCTCTTGCCCTCCTTGCCCATTTTCCTACATGTGGGGATTGAGATCTTTTGTGCTCTATAGAGAGCATCCTTAAAGATCTGCCAGCTTTGTTCCGCTCCCTTGTCCCTGAGGGCTGTTTCCCATGGGGTCCTATTTACTAACTCCTTGAAAAGCTGGAAGTTTGCTTTCTTGAAATTTAGAGTCCTAACTGTGCTTCTGGTGAGCTTCAAACTCCTTAGGACAGTGAACTGCACTAGGGCATGATCACTGCAGCCTAGGCTACCTTCAATTTTGATATCCCTGATGATTTCACTTGCATTTGTGATCAACAGATCCAACAATGCATTTCCTCGAGTAGGGCTGTTAATTTCTTGTCGCAGGAAGTTGTCATCTAGGCACTCTAAGAGCTTCCTGGATTGTCTGCAGCCAGCTGTGTTGCTTTTCCAGCAGATGTCGGGGTGGTTAAAGTCCCCCAGCAGGATGAGAGCCTGTGATCGTGATGCCTCCTCAAGCTGGAGTAAGAAGGCATCATTGACAGGCTCCGCCTGGTCAGGCGGCCTGTAGTAGACTCCTACCACAAGGCTCCCTTTGTTGTCCCAATCCCTAATTCCTACCCATAAACTTTCAACCTGGTCATGGCTACTCTTTAGCAACAACTCTTCACATTCTAGCCACTTCTTTACATAGAGGGCAACACCTCCACCCCTTCTTCCCCTCCTGTCCCTTCTGAACAGCTTGTACCCATTGATGGCCACACTCCAGTCATAGGAGTCATCCCACCAAGTTTCCGTAATTGCTACTATGTCATAGCTTTCCTGTAGCAGGATAGCTTCCAGTTCCTCCTGCTTGTTGCCCATGCTGTGTGCATTAGTGTAGAGACATTTCAGCTGGTCTGCTGGCCACGTCACGTTCTTAGAGGGACACTCCACTGATCCCCCAAGATGCTTTGTGGCTCCAACCCTCCTGTCTCCTATTACCTCAGGGGCTCTTGGTCCATTATTTCTTGCTTCAAGTCCAATGGCAGGCTGGAGGGTGTCCTTAAGCTCGTCTCTAGTGCTCCTGTATTTAACCCCCTCCCCCTTCAAGCCTAGTTTAAAGCCCTTTTGACAAGCCATGCCAACTTATGTGCTAGGATCTTCCTGCCCTTCTGAGACAGATGTTCCCCATCTGTTACTAGCAGACCTTGTGCCATATGAAGTTTGCCAAGGTCGAAAACCCCAAAATTTTGTTTGTGGCACCATTCCCTAAGCCACTTGTTAATCATGAATGACTTTCTATTCCTTTCAGTATTACAACCTGCAACCAAGGGTATTGATGAAAAAATAATCTGTGCCCCTGATCCCTCAACTAGTTTTCCCAGTGCCTTGAAGTCCCTTTTGATTGCTTTTAAACTTCTGGTTTCAACCTCATCATTTCCCACCTGCATAACTAGTAATGGATAGTAATCAGAGGGCTTTACCAGACTAGGCAGCCTTCTAGTGACATCTCTGACCCGGGCCCCTGGGAGGCAGCACACTTCCCTGTGGGAAGGATCTGGCCGACATATGGGGCCCTCTGTTCCCTTCAGAAGGGAATCCCCAATAACAACTACCCTCCTCTTTTTTTTTGGGGTACAAGTACTGATATGAGGGGGGGACTGGTTTGCTTTAGGCAACCCCCCAGCCCCCAGATGATGTTTCTTCTACTTTCTTATTTGCCTCTCCCTCAACATCCAGTGCACCATACTTGTTGTGCAAGGGCAACTGGAAGGGTGAGGGGGGCTGCAAGAGGTTTTCCTTGCCTCTCCTACCGGGCACCTGTGTCCATTCCCCTCTGCTCATTGGGTCACCTCCCTCTCCTGAGGGGATCTGCAGAGCCTTGCACAACAAATCCAACTCTCTTTCACTTTCCCTTATAGACCTTAGTCTTTCCACCTCTTCCTTCAGTTCAGCCACCTCATCCTTCAGTTCAGCCACTAGACTAAGCAGATCATTGATCTGCTCACACCTCACACAGGTGTTGACTCCACAGCCTTCCAGTGCAAGTGCCAGGCTCCAGCACTCGCTGCAGCCCGTTGCCTGGGTGCCTGCATGTTTGTGTGCAGCCTCTGCTAGGGCACGCTCAGTTTTTTTAACAGCCTTCTGCCGAGTTGTAACCATGGTTTTATCTCTTTGCTGCCCGAAGTTGCGCACACTGCTCAGCTCTCGTTATTGAGAAGGCCGGGCCTGCCTGAACTCACCTGTCACGCGCCGCACTCCTGTGAGGCCGCTACCGCCGCTCCGCCGCGCGCCTGAGGGCCTGCTCCGGCCGCGTTTAAATCTCCGCGAGTCCTGGCCACGCCCCCTCCGCTCCTGATTGGTTGTTGCGGGCTTCCGGGTTCCCGCTGGGGCTGGGGCTGTGAGCTGGGGGTCCCTGAGCTCGGAAACCCCTCTGTACAGCGGGATCCAACCCTCTCCCCGGGCTCACCTCGGTTCTTGCCGCTGCCGCCGCTTCGCCGAGCGAACTCCAGAAGTGCCGTAGGGGCGATCTCTTTTCCCTGAGCAGATGGTAGTGATGCAGAGATCTTTGCTGCAGGTTTACAGAGCTGAATGAGATGGGGACGGACGCTAATGCACAGGCCAACACAAACCGGGGGGAACGGAAGGAAGGTGTGGGCAGGAATCCTGGAGCAAGCAGAGGATGCTTGCAGCTGGGTGGCGTGGTCAGAGCTCCCCCTCCTGATAGCTCAGCTCTGGCCCTTCAGGGACATGACCTGGGCTGTTACCCTCTCTGCGGGGATGGGAGCAGTGCCAGGACTTTTGCCAGTGTCTCTCAGCTCTCTAGGAATCACCTGACTTTATATTCAAACTCCTTTTCTGGTCAAATAGCTAGAAAAAAATATAAAGCAATTACATGTAGCTGTAATTAAGTTCAAGGTAGCACTGGTGTTGTTCAATCTTCAGAAAATAGCCTAACATTGCTATCTACCTGATAAGCTGGAATTTCCTTCCAGTCTGACAAGGCAATATGTTACAGCCTTTTAATTGGGGAATGGTAGATTTTCTTTTTCTTTCCCTCACACTGGTGATCCCTGTGTAATTTAATTCAGAAATGCCATTGTGCTAGGCTGGCTGGAAGGGAAAATCTTCACACTTAAAGAACTGATACAGAGAGCCAGTTCCTTATGAATAGCTGAACATATACTGCAGCATCTTGCCATATTAAGACTTTTCTAATTTGGCTTTACATTTCCTAGAAGCCTTTGAACAAAATGTGGGAGTCAGTGGGGCCACAGACCCAGAGGGAGCACCCAGCTTGTCACCATTTATTTTATCCTCTGATTTCATTTGGATTTCAATTAGAGTCATCATGGGAGCAGAGAAACAAACCAAAAAAACCCCACTAAATAGCAAAATCCATAAATACATTCTACAGCCATTGCATTTTGCAATCTAATTACTTTAACATGTAGGGATGGGGGAGGTGGTTATTACTCACAATACCAGAAAGCTTTCATGGAATAACACAGAATTATTAAACTTTTCAGAAAGAATCCAGTTTGCAGTTCCCACTGCATGTTTACCTGGGCAATTTTCCCTTTTCCTGTGGCAGAGAATCACTTTGTATTACACTTTCCCACCTATAAAAGAAGCCCTTGTTCACAGTTTCCCTGAGGTGCTCATAATGTTATTGGTTATGTGCTAAGAAGTTGGGGTTGCTCTGAATTCCTGACTTGTGGCTCTCCAGTTCAAAAAGTAAATACATTTGCTGAGTTAGCTAGGCTTCATGGTGCCCAAAATCCCACAGGGAATGAAATGTCCTGTTGGGGGAAGCTTTGAAACTCTAGTTGCTTCACACTACTTCTCTTGGGCAGGAGAGTATACAAAGCATGCTTCTGTGCCGTATTTACTGGGGTTTTGTGGATCCAGTCCATAAGAGCTGCATTGAACCTTTGCAGAGGGGAGAGGTCTCCCCTTGGAAATGTGCAGGATGCAATGGAAAAAAAAAATAAAATAAAATTCCGTGTTTTCCACTCCTTACTGAGTCCCTTGTGCCCTGCATGCAGGTGGCTGCCTGAAGATGAAGAAAACACTCACGGGTGAAGGGCAAAGCAAGCAAAACAGTAACTTTCCTGGCTCAGATGCAGGTACTAAAAATAAATAAATAAATAGATCCAAGGCCAGTTGGTGCACAGGACGCCTGCGGTACGCGTGCCCCTGCCACCACCACAGCTCAACCGCTGAGTGCTACAGGAACCACTCGCTGTGACGCTGAGAGCAGGGACACGCTGCAGATGTGTCCCCTGACACCACAGCCTGCTCTTCCAGCATGGCGGCTTTCTTCACTGAACACCCACAGGCAAAAGAGCCTTCGAAAAATGCCTGTGGGAAGACACAGCTTCTCAAATTATTTTCTTCATTTCTTCCCGTGCTCATTAGATCCATGTGAGACCTGGTGGACCCTACTCTGGGGTTTGGAGCGGGGGACTGTTAAGGCAGGATGAACCACTTGAGCACCAGTTAATTTAGCTGAGGAAGTGCTGCCTAATTAAAAATTAATAGTAGCAGTTTGAGATAGATTTTTTTTTTTGGATGGAAGGTGTCTGCTGTTCAGCCCAGCTTTCTCCAATGGGAAGAAGTCCCTCCCAAATCAATATTGCCCTGCCCCGAAGCCCTCTCCCCATGAAAAACACATGCAACAACCTCCTGGGGTGGAGAGGACTGGAGAGGATGCTGATTGCCAGAGACTTGGCGAAAGGTGACAGAATCCTAAAGTGCAAAGGCTGGACTGTCTTCTCCTTCCTTGCAGAGCATGCTGTGGCAATAGCTGCAGGGCCTGGTGTGTACAGCTGGCGTGGCATTATCCTGGGAGGAAGGGTGTTACCGATGCCATTTCCATGCCATCCCAGCTGTGGCAAAGCAGTAACATGTCTGACAGCTCACCCTCCCTCCAGGAGTCATGCGTGTGCTCAGGACACACCCCAGCAGCTCATCATTTCTGATCACGGTGGATCACCGGTTATGCTCACACACACAAAGCACACGCAAGCAGGCAGCACGACTGGCACACTATCTCCTCACTTACAATGAAAATTCCTTGCTGCCTTAGGCTCCCTAATCTGAAATTCTACATTGGCCACAGCTGATCGCAGAGCAGGGCGTGGGGTGGCTGCAGAGCAAATCACAGCTCAGCACTCCAGATGTTTGCACTCGCCCCTAACACCCATGTCGTATTGCCATCAGACACATTCCAGAAGTCCTCATTTTCTAGGCATGAAAGCATTTTAACAATAAACAGAAATTCTTCCTATTACATGGTTATATTTGGCTGCTGAAAGCAGACTCTTATTAAGCTAGGCAGAGAGCAATTAATGTTGTGTAGAGAGCAGTCTTCCACTTGGCAAAAATCTGGACTAATATATCCTTCCCACCTCCAGCAGCTGGGACCACAAGTTAAGGCTCCAAGTTTACAAAAGCTTATTAAGACGCTTGCTGTAAGCATGTGAGCAGCTCCACTAAAATTGGAGCCTGGTGAAAATCTGGCTATAATGAGATCTGTGAAGGTTTTAGCACTGAATTTAATGGGGATGGTGTTTTCTCTGTGAGGACCAAAGGGTTTTACTTTCATTTCACTCCTTCCTGCCACTAGCAGCCTGGATGGATATTTCTTCATTGGTGTGCTGGACATTGAAATACTACAGAATTGGATTTCAAACCTGATTGAGCTGGAAGATCTTCACTGACTAAAATCTTCAAAGTTCTTTATTTCTACCTTTTTTCTAAGGGAGTCTTGATGCTCTTCTCGTGGTTTTGCAGCACAACGCAGCTCCTAAAGCAAGAAAAAAACAACACAATGCAACTGAGCCACAAATTGCTTCACAATTACTTTTACTACCTAATTTGGTGCATGAGGCTTGCTCTTTGCATACTGTAATCCTGCGACAAACTCAGGAACAGCCCAAAAGGCCACAGAATTGATGAGATACTCGTAATCATTTCTCTCATGTTGCAGCTGTGACAGAGGCCCTGGAGAATTTGCCCAGCATGATATTTGCAAATGCCTGTTCGCCTCTGTATTTGCTCAACTGCTGCTGAGGATGATGTTCTTCCTACCGCCCTACTCCCATCCAGCAGGCGCAGCTGTACCACCTGGGAAGTGCAATCTGGACCAACTTTCATGGGACTCTCTGTCCAGGCTTGCTGTCTGCCTGCTATTGGTGTGTTTGGGACGTGGAGCAATGATCAGACCACAGCTCAGGCTGTAGTCACTCATGCTCAGCAAGCCAAAGGCTCAGGATGTTACAGGATTTATAGATTTTTGCAGTGAATTATAGTGATCATTGATGAGACAGGGAAGTTACATTAAAACCACTAACTCCACAATGAAAGGGCTTTTATACGCTCTTTTGCAGTGGTAGTTATGGCTGTCAATTTCACACAATTCACTTTCAAGCACAAGAGCAGCACAAACTGGTTTAAGACGATTTCTAAATGATGAATGCTGACTTGAAAGGTTTCCAGTACAACATAATTACTCTGCATTAATGTGCAATACACAATGGTCTGTATCTATCTCAATGGGAATCTCAGTGGAGCTTCGTGGGCTCCGTTCCAAGTACCCTCTGTTGGGAGTCGTGCTGAGTCCCACAGGCTGACAGACAAATAGATCCCACATTCATTCCTGAATTATTTCTGTGCAGAATCAGATACGAGAGATCCAGGGTCATATTCACTGGTGTGTGGCAGCACACAATTGTACTCAGCTGTAGTGAATACAGACCATTTTATTGTCCCTCCATGGCCTGATATATTTTGCTTTGGCTAATATATGCACCCCTTAATCTTTAGTCACGCAGAGACAGACAACTCTAATGAACTCCCTACAGCTTTAGATTAAAATACTTTTTCAATATGTGAGGTCAGGGAGGGGAGACTCAACCACTTCTCCTGAGCAAAGGCCAAATTGAATGAAGAATTAATTTACTTATTTCCAGCTAAACACCACATACTTTGAGATTTCACCTAGCCCTCACAATGATCTGTAATCCTCTATAATGATTGTCCTTCTGCAAAGAGCATCCCAGTACTGTTGTTGGGTGGATAATGAAATACTCAGGTTCAACTTTCACATCCTCCTGATCAGCTTTTGAATATCTCAACATTCAGCAGTTATTGCTTTTTTTAATCAGTGCTAGAGGCCCAGGTACCCTGGCGATAAGCAGAGAGAATAAATGCATTCAGGAAAAAAAAACCCTCTTACTAATCAGCTCTTGTTCCAGAGTTATAACTTCTCTCCAAAGCTGAGAGCTATTAGAAGCAGGGATTTTCACCTGGGCTCATTTCCAATCAGGATGTATTAGTTTTGTATCACCATGCTGCTCTTAGCCCAGGGGTCATGGCACACTGCAACCTCATGGGAAAGAGCTGGTGGGACACTAGACAAACAAGATCAGCCCTTGTTGCAGCCAGCAAGTCCTCCTCCAGTATCTCCAGCCCATGGGATGGAGGGCCGACATCATATTAACAATAGAGGTGACTCTGCTTCCCTGTTTGGTTTTGTGCTGCCAAATGCCTGGGGTGGAGGCAAACGTGAAGGGGCTGTTAAAAGGACTTGGAGGAGTAAAAACAACGGTACAGAGAAGTGCACTGCAGATAGGCAGCTTCAAATGCATGAAGATAAAAATGCCTGGATACATCCCAGGTGGAGCAAGTTATTCTTTGCAGAGTTAAGCCTTGGATCAAAGAAGACCTCAAACCTCCCGCATGGGGTCTCTCCCATGGGAGACAGTCCTCCATGGACTTCTTCAACATGAGTGCTTCCCACACTCTGCAGTTCTTCACGAACAAAACTGGCAATGTAGGCAGGTATACTGATAAAACTGTACTTTAACCAAAAACATGCATCTGAAATCCCAGGACTAACTCACACATCTCTTTTCCCAGAAGTACCAGCTTCTTCCAGCCATTTTGCATCCCACAGAACTCTTTTCCTTAGCTTTTTTCAGAGCGGTGGGACCAATGCTCTTTCATTTTCCTGAAGGGTCTCCATGTCTGCTTTCAGGGTTTTGTTTTAATTGCTCCTTCCTTATCAACCCCATCCTCAAAGGTCATACATAACCCTGCCATCACCAGAAATCTATTTAAACAAACAACACCTGGTGAAAGCCCTTCTCACAGGCACATTATATGTGGGGAGAGGTCAGGACCATATCAAATGTGCAGCTCCCTTGGGGAACAGTTTCCCTTTCCAGGCCAGTTTATAGGAAGTAACTGATATAATTTGAAAAAGCTTATTCTTTCAAAAGTTGATTTTTGAAAAGTTCATTTTTTTCAGGAAAAAATTCCTCAGGCTTGGAGTATTAGCACTGCAAACCACAACAGCTGAGCAGTTATTGACTTTTACACCGGTGAGGTAAGCAGCTGGGAAGGAGAGAGCCCTTCCGTGGCTAAGAGCCTGTCTTCCCACCAGGCTTAATGTCAGAGACAAATACCTTGGGGTTCTGCCCAGTTTCTGATTCCTGGGTGTAGCGCCGAGACCTGCAGCCCTACTGAGGATTTGCAAAAAGTGCAGGCAGGGTTCGTCTAAACCCCTGTTTGCAGAGGACAGGTCTCCTTTCTAGACCTGCTCATGAGCACAGCACAACCAGCGTCAAATCCCACTTCTCAGATGCCTGAGGACCCCGTTAGCGCAGCAGGGTTGTTTGCACAGACCAGCAGGAAGTAGCCTTTGGCCAGTAAGAGGAATTATTACTACTCCCCAAGGAACTTTGCAGTGTGGTTTCTGGCTTGACTCTATTCTTCTTTGTGTTTAAAGTAATCTCCATCGGCACTCGCTTTCCATCCTGCCTCCGAGCACCACAGCTAGCACTTGCAGACATGCTAACGGCCCCTTCAGTGGCTCAGCACGGGTCCCACTGATCCCATCCCACTGAATTTAAAGGAAAGCAGCAAAACACCATGCACACTTTAAAATAAAGTCACTCAGAATAATGCAAAACCATTGGCAGTGCCACTTTTACCAACCCCAGGGCCAGGAAAGAAAAAAGAAAAGAATACCGCTATTCTCTGCTTTATTTGCAGAAGAATCGGTCTAAGTTTGACCCAGGTGAAACCTGGCTAAGTCTTGCAGCTCTTTTTCCAAGCCCAGAAGACAATCACCTTTGGGTGTCTAAATGACATGTCTATCTCCTTGTTATGGTTTGAGAAAACCCATAACAATCTATTGTTGTTTAGACAATTATTCTATCACCTGATGGTCTCTCCCCACCCAGAAAGAGGAATTGGGGAACAAAAAGAAACACAAGGGTTAAAATATAAATAGATTTAATCGACTAAGACTAAATAATTAACAATAATAGTAAAGAACCAGTATTAATCCCGATACTGATATAAGATATACAGAAATTATACTCAGCCCATTCTCTCAGCCGGAAGCTGTGCGCTCCCAGCAGGGACAGCAAATGGCGGACACTGCCAGCACAACGGCTTCAGGAGGAAGGGAAGGCCTCAGGGGTCTGGCACCGGGGTAAGGAGTTGTCTGGACCCGCTGCCATCAAGGGAGAGAGAGCTACACAGCAAACTTTTCTAATTGATATTGAATGTGACGTTCATGGTATGAAATAATCCTGTTGGCCAGCCTGGGTCAAATGCCCAGGCCTTGCTCCTCCTTGTCCCTGCACTTGGCAAGGCTTGAAAACGCTAACCTTGAATCCCACAGAGCCTGGCTGGCTATGAAGTAAATATTTTCACAAATTCAGACACTAGAGTCTTCTAAAAGTGCAATTTTCCCCAGCATTAGAAGAAAAGTTAGTCCTGTGTCTCTCAACCCAGGACACTCCTCTATAACTCTCATCCTATTACCAAAATGACACCCTCTAGTCAGACTCATTTTGGCAGATGAGTCCTTCTGGACACATGAGCATTCAGTAGTCTGGCAGTGGGCTTAAAGACCTCCAGCTCCAGGTTCACGTCCACCTGTGACCTTGCCCAAGGCAGCATGGCAAAGCAGGGCAGGGAAGCAGAGGATCTGGCCCAGACAGCACATGCTCTCCCAAATACTCTCTCAAATACATTTCTGCTGAAGCTGCTCTCAGGAGTTAAAGGCAGCAGAATCCCCACTTTATTTTAAGTTCTGACAATATACCCAAATGCTGAGGTTTTGTCAGATCTCAAAAGAGTTGTCTTTGCTACTGAAAAACAGTTATATTTCTTTTTGCTGGAAGGTAGCTAATGGCCAGCTGCTCTCTTGAGGTAAACAACACAGCCAAGATGGAGTGCTTGACTTTTCCTGTGGGTAAACTCATCAAGGTCAATGCTCTTGCAGTTGACCTCTGCAAATCTATCTCACGGGGTGCTTTAGTTTTACTGTCTCATTTGTGTTTTTACCTCAGGATATTGGATGAGCACTGGTTCCCTTGGGGTTGAAGAAAAGATTTTAAAAATTTAGCAGTAAAGACAAGACCAAACAATCCTCTTCAAGGAGAAAATGTCTCTACAGCGTCTAAAAGAGCTGTTCTTTTACGAGTCAACCAACACAGATGTATATGCTTTTCCCCACTGGTAGAAAATAATGTAAACCAAAGAGAAAAGCTTGCACCGTCTAGGAAATAGTATCACTAGAAAATATCGCTAGGAAAGTGTGTTTGTCTTACAGAAATCTACTAGCACTTTCACAGCAAAACTGTGGAGGAGGAAATATTTATAATGCCAGCAAGTTAACAACATTTTTACAGGAGATATTCTACTCCTGGTAAAAGCCCAAATAC